TATATATATGGATGTGTGTTCACGCTGTGACCTAACAGTCATTCACCTCTGTCCTGATAGCCAGCATAGGCATGATAGGCATGGATACTGGAGATTAGTTGCATGTCTAACACTCTGAGAACTACGTAATCCAGTCAGTCACAAATCTGCTTCAAGCTTGACGATTAACCCCTTTCCCCTCCAGAAAGCAATCTGAGGAAAGCACATCATGGATTAGTCCAGGCAAAGGTCACTACTGGAATATGGTAGAGCCAGCTGGTAAACACTACTGAGCTGTTTCTAATCACGCTTTCAAGACAGACTGAAACTTAAGCAAACTTAGACATGAGTGAACCTTTTGTGAACTGACTCTAACCATTTAACCCCTCATTATTCAGCGTTAACACAACAAAGTTGGGCCTAAGGAATATTTATCTGAACAGATCGTTTAGCGTAATTTACCAAATGAATTAACTTTGCTGTTTGATTCTACTGTAAACTATAATGGAAGTGAGAACGGGTAAACTGGAAAACTAAAGAAACCCACAAATCATACAGGTGCAGATACATTTGTTTGTGCMCTTTTTTTCAAGAAAATACACACATGGTCAACAAAATAACATGAAACTGACAAATGTAATAAAATAACACTTAAATAAGCTAATTATAATAAAACATCAGTTTGATTAACTAATGAAACAAAAATAATGAAACTGACTGACAAAAAATGACACTCATAACCTAAACATCTTGTGGTAATTAAGGCAGAATGAAATACTCTGTTTATTTCATTTTTCATTTCATTTCAGAAGTTTATTAATTCCTTTAAAAACAAAATAAATCATACATACAATAAAATAAATATTGTGATTTTTGTTACAAACTCAATTTTACTGTTTTCCAAAATCTGTTTTTATTTTTATTTTACTTCTACTTTTTGTGTGTGTTTTTGCTACATCGTGGGAACCCTTTTCCAGAAAAAGGCAGCCTCGTGGGGACCGAATGYGCAACATGGGGACCAATGCCCAGTCCCCACAGGTACAGATGCTAATTTCGGATGGGTTGGGTTTAGGACCAAGGTGTGAATTGAGTTTAGGTTAGTTTTAGGGTCAGGTAGGGACCTGTGAGGTTAGCCTTATGGTTTGTGGTCAGGGTTAGGCTGTAGAAATGTAATGGAAGTGTGTGTGTGTGTGTGTGTGTGTGTGTGTGTGTGTG